GTGTGTGTGAGAGAGAGAGAGAGAGAGTGTGTGTGTGTGTGTGCGCGCGTGCGTGTGTGCGTCTATATATATATATACATATACATATGCATACCTTGATGAGACGATGTAGGGGAACTTCTCGCCCCCAAATTGCCTGGTATCTGGCACTTCCAGCGACTGCACTCTGAGGCTCATGGTGGTGTCGTATGTGCGTTTGAAAATGTCGAATGTGCCACCGGTGACTGTGACTGTGGCTAAGGCTGTTGCTCCTGAGCTGTCTCCGATCGATAAGCACACAGCACCGATCTCAAAGTGGGCATTCATAAGCACCTGGTACATTGAGTCAGTAAAAAGGATGAGATAGGTGAGTGTGGGTGTGTGTGTGGTTGTTTGAGTGTATGCAGGTGATGTGTGTGTGTGTGTGTTTGGGTGTATGTGTGTGTGTGTTTGTATATATATATATATATATATAGAAAACCACGATTATCTGAGAAAAAAGCCTCCTCCATACTCACCTTCTTAACGAGCTCTTCAATGGCCTTCTCTCCCATTCTATTGGCTGATTTGGCGTCGGCAATAAGCCCGGCCAATAGAATGTCCTCGGGCACTTCCGCGCCCAAATCTTCGGAGGCTTTTGATTGGTTTACAGACTGTCCTGATTTTGTATGGCTCAATTGCGAGTCACCTCCGGTTGGTGCCGAACTTCGGGGTGCTGGTGGAGGTGCACGTGGTGTTTTCAAGGCCCCTTTAAAGGCCTGTAGTAGATTGAGAATCTTGCCGTCGGTGGCGTGCATGCTCAGCCGTGGCAGTGTGGCGGAGACCTTCATATCCGCGTATTCTAAAAATAGAACAGGTGCAAAATTGACCAAAAGTTAGATCACGGGTGCATTAATAGGGATGTGTAAAGGCTTGTAGTAGGTTGAGAACCGCGCCATCTGCGGCGTCTATGCTCAGTCGTGGCGGCTGCAGCAGCAATCAATGGCGTATGTATCTGCCGAATATCTGCCATTGGGTGTAAGGGGGTGTATAAGTGAGTGTGTGTGTGTGTAAGGGGGTGTATAAGTGAGTGTGTGTGTGTAAGGGGGTGTATAAGTGAGTGAGTGTGTGTGTGTGTGGGGGGGGGGTCGTAGTTGCGTCGATTGTATCTATCTACTCGGTCGTCCTGTCGGTCATGATCACCGTGACTATCGTAGCGGTATTGGTAGCGGTTGTTTTTGTTGTAACGTTCCCGCACGTGTACGGTGTAGCCACGATTTGAAGCAGCTCTGTCCTTGTTCTGTTCTTGGACATGTATCTGTAGTCTCTCCTGTCGTATCCAGGATCAGACCTGTCAATCATTCGACCTTACGATTTACGTCCGTCGTACCATCGACGGATGGACAAGTCTGATGTTTGGTACGACATGAGAGACTATAGATACATGTCCCAAGAACAGAACAAGGACAAGCATCGTCGACCTGATTTAAATCGTGGCTAGCGTACACGTGCGGAACAATACAACCGAACCAACGGCTGCCACTACCGCTACGATAGTCACGGTGATCATGACCAACGGGACTACGTCAGCTTAATCTATTTAAAGAACGGGTGCAAATCAGACCAAAAGTCGAGTTTTCGGGTGCAGTACAAGGACTACTGAAGGATTATAGTAAATTGAGTATCTTGTCGTCTGTTGTGTGAATGCTCGGCCGTGGCAACGTGGCGGAGACCTTCAAGTGTGCTTATTCTATAAATAGGATGGGTGCGATCCAGCCCATAATCTAAATCATGAGTAGTATTCTATAAATAGGATGGGTGCAATTCGGCCCATAATCTAAATCATTCGTAAAATTATATAAATAGGATGGGTGCAATTCAGCCCATAGTCTAAATCACGAGTGCGTAATAAGACATACTAGAGTACAGCCCACCATTGAACTCTGTGATAAGATTCCTTACCGCCAGCGCCATGCCGAGCTTGTCCACCACATTGACCCCAACCCGCTGTCCCTCCACACACACTCGTTAATAGTACTACCACTCGCCTATTCAATCACACAACACTCACTCACTCGTTAATAGTCCAAACACTCGCCTTTTCCATCACACAACACACGCACACTCGTTAATAGTCCAACCACTCCCCTATCTCATCACACAACACACACACACGCGCGTTAGACAGCCGTAAAAGCACCCCTGCAGACAGCAACACACCATTCAATTCCGTGATGAGGTTCTCCACCGCCAGCGTCATGCTGAACTTGTCCACCACATTCACCACAGCCCCTTCGTCCTCGGCCTTGTCCTCTCTCGCACCCGTTGCCATGCCAACGGGTGCTGTGGCATCAGATGTGTTGACGGTCTCTCGCCAGTCCGAGTTCGCCTGACACACCAACACCTGTGCATTGCTGAGTGTGAGCGTGTACTTGTCGTACAGCAGCGCTTCCATCTCTTCGGGAGTGTGTTTGGTTCCTGAGGTGTGTATGTATGTACGTGTATGTGGACGGTTGAGTGTGCATGTACGTGTATGTGGACAGTTGAGAGTGTATGTACGTGTATGTGAACAGTTGAGAGTGCATGTACGTGTATGTGGACAGTTGAGTGTGCATGTACGTGTATGTGGACGGCTGCGTGTGCATGTACGTGTATGTGGACAGTTGAGTGTACATGTACGTGTATGTGGACAGTTGAGTGTGCATGTACGTGTATGTGGACGGCTGAGTGTGCATGTACGTGTATGTGGACAGTTGAGTGTGCATGTACGTGTATGTGAACAGTTGAGTGTGCATGTAGGTGTATGTGGACAGTTGAGTGTGCATGTACGTGTATGTATACAGCTGAGTGTACATGTACGTGTATGTGGACGATTGAGTAGATATATTTGAGTATAACGTACGCAGATGAAAGCTCGTGTGTGTAGTAGATATGTATTGGCTTACGGATTGATAGTACACCCAAGGACCTTCAAACGATGGTGTCGGTACCCATTTCGATAACTGTATTTTGGCAGCAACACCCAAATTCACACAAGAGTGCCTTATATGTATATATGAATGTCTGGTATGTGTCGTATATGTATGTTTAGATAGGTATATATTATATTATTGTACGTTTAGATCGATATCTACACAGAGTCTGTTGGCATCGCTTGTATGTATATACGTACATATATATATAGAAATA